CTGCCTGAATTTACTGCTTGTAACCAGTTAACTCAACTGGAGACACAGGCATCCGGAGATAGGGGCAATCGCTACAGCCCTCCCCCCGGAGCCTGACCTGATCTGTGTCATGTCACGTAGACATGTCTGCTTACACAAGATAACAGGAAAGAGTCGTGCCAGGCACAATACCACCCATCCCTCCCCAGTTGAGACACCTGAAGGGAGTTGCAACATTTTTTTTTGTGAAATGCTTGCTTTGAAACTATTGGCTGTATAAACGTGGGCTTTTATGTAACGGTTGTGGGAGCCTATATAATCTTTACCTAAAATTGCCTCAGGGTCGATCGCTCTAACCAGACCTGCATGTCTTGGAAGGACAGTCCGCCCCAGCTAGCTGGTTTAATAAAACTCTGCTTGATTTTTTGCATCTCCATACTCGTGCATTTGTTCTCCAGAAGAGACCCACCGAGTCAAGGACCCTAACAATCAGAGACAGTTCTCTACAGTTTACACAGAATCGGTAAAGATCTGGGCCCATCAATCTAAGCAAACACAGAAAGACTAAGGAATAGAAATTTGCAAAGAAAACCGTGAGTCTTGGCAGTAACTGCTGTGGACTACAAAATGAGAGCAACACTGGTCTGTGAGCATAAACACAGTACTTAGAGGGCAGTTTGATGAGCACATGTTCATTTAACAAAACAATAGTAGCTTCCCCAACTAGGCTATGATTGTCACAGCCACAGGCTTATGATCAAGTTTTATAGTGCTCAGGGGCCTCCCTGACCAAAAATTGTTAGTGAACTATTCTGCTTCCTGCTGCACTGGGATTTTTGTTTAATAACCTATGGCTTCTAGGAACAGCATTATGCATCCATGCAGATACCTCCTTTCAAACTCAGACTTTTATTTTTTAATGATTTTTTTAAAAAATCAGCTTAAAAAGCAGTAGGTTTCATATGGCTTTGGGATGTTGTGAAGGAGACTGAGAGGGTCAGTTCTGAGCCAGTGAAAGGCTGTCTCCCTCTAGGATCCACAACCAACTAGAAGGTCCTGATTGATTTATAAAGTTTAAATAGTAATTTTGTATTTGGCTGTCTCTGAAAGTTACTGGGGAAGAGCTTTCTGAGGAGACTTCCTGTGGGAGTCTTATGAATTAGGTATGTATGCCCAGCAGGTAGAGCATACCAGCTGCAGACGTTTTTCATATCAGAGCATACCATATATTAGTTCTGTTTCTGTTGTATGAGAAAATACACCGACAAAACAACTTTATGGAGAAAGGGTTGGTTCAGGTTACATTTCCAGGTTATAATCTATCATTTGTAGGCAAATATGCTTAGAAAATAAAAATAAGTGAACCTGTAAAGAAAATAAACAGTCAACCATTGCAAGTTTTCAAATAAAATTGAGGGAATTTCAGGGAAGTAGTTAATAAAAATTAAAAATTTTATTATTAAAAATGTTTCCAAGAGTAACACTTTACTATTTGGGGTACTATCTCGGAATAATAGCCATGTTCCTATGCACACCTGAGAATGTCAAGTGAAATTTCTTCCTTTAAAAATATTTTATTATTTTTGTTCTGTGTGTTTGAGTGTATTGTCTATGTGTATGTAAGTGCACCTGTGTTGTGTAATGCCTGTAGAGGTCAGAAGAGGCTGTTGGATCCCTTGGGACTGGAGTTATGGACAGTTGTTAGCTGCCATGTGATTGCTGGGAATTGAACCTAGGTCCTCTGTAAGAGCATCCAGTGCTCTTAACTGCTGAGCACTATAGTCCCAGTGTCGCCCGAGTTCTCTTGGGGTCTCTTGCTCCTGGCGCTATCAGAAAAACCATATAACATATCTTTATGTGAATTTATTATGATTTATAACATTGAGGGGGGAAGGGAATGACTTACAAAGAAACGAACAGCTGGTGCCCAGCTCTGCACTGTGGCTCAGAGCCCACCATTCCATTCTCACTTCCGACGCCTGGCCATAGTGACCACTAGCTTTCACCCACTCCTTGTAGGCCTGCAGTTGGCAAACATCCCCTCTCCCGTCCATGCAGGTAAGACTCTGGGGCCATCTTTCTTTCCATGCCTGCCCCCGTGTGCCATTCATGGCTTTGGTCCCAAGATGGCACAGAAAGCCCCTCCCTCCACAACTAGCTCTCCACAGTCAATTCTCCTCAGCAGTCCCCACCCCTTGGAGGACCCAGGCCCCTGGGACATACCCAGTCAAGTGAAATTTCTAAGCTTGATTCTTTGATAGATATGATAGCTGTTATAGGACAATTCTTATAAAACTGAAAAGATTTCATAATCTAGATTTTCCATTTTTATTAAAATTTTGTTATAGGAAAGAGATAAGCCAGGATATTAGAAAACAAATTCTGAGCTAGGCCTGATGTCATACACCTTTAATCCCAGCCCTCAATAGGCCCTCCAGGCCAGCTGTGAATACAGGGAAGTCCTGTCTCAGAAACAAAAATGAAAAATAAAAAAGAAAGAAAACTGTTTTCATAGTATATCTTAGGGAAAGAGAGTTTTAATTAAGCCATGTCATAGGAGTTTATTATTAGTTTTTTTTTGTCCTTATTTAAAAGTTTTTTTTTAACTTTTACAAAAACTTTATTGAGAATTTCATACATACATATAAGGTGTTTTGATCAAATCCATGCCCACGCCCTCCCCTCCAACATTCCCCCCTCTGAAGAGGTAACCCTGAAATCTCTTAAGGATTAGTTATTATTTTATTACTGTATGTAATTGAGAGACCTCATTCTCCCAAGTGTTCAGGATCAGCACTTAGATGTAGCACTTGTTCTGTGTCGCTATACTAAAATTTGTAGATATTCCTTGTTTTCTGCACACTTTTCTCATCAACAGGAGGCTGCCTCTGGCTGCCAGGCTGCAGAAACTTCTTCATGGTGGGCATGTCACTGATTCGGGTTTTCAGGGCCTGCATGTAAACAAATCACAGCCTTAGGAAGGAGCCCAAAGACCACACCAGCTATTAGCACATCCCAGCAGGAAATCAGACTCTATCAACTTCGGTGTGGAGAATAGAAATAGACAACCAAAGACAGGGAAAATAACAGGAAAATGCAGAAAACAGTTCACTAGCATTTTGTATGAAGACATTGTTAAGGCCTCCTTAATTACAATCATCCTTATCTTCTGCTTTACATCTTAACCTAGTAGATTCATGGCTCTGGCAGAATAAAGGAAGAAAAATGAGTCTGTTGGTTACCAAGTCAGAGGAGTACCCAAACAGATGAAGTGAAGACATAGGAAAACTGAGCTGGAATTGAGGATAGAAAGTATTGAGCTCTCCTTAACAAATAAAAAACAAGTAGAAGAGTTTATTGTATCTTATGAGATCACAGCAATGTCACAAAACTAGAAATCAATGGCAAGAGAAACTATGTAAAGTAAATAAACACTTAGGGAGGGAATTACACACTCTCCAATGAAGAGTGTCATTAAAGATATTGGGAGGAAATTGAAAAATTTTCAGAATCAAAGGACGTGAAAGTATGACTTAACAGAACCTTTGGGATACAGCTGAGGCAGCTTTAAGAGGAAAGTTATTGCCATGAGTGCTTACCTTAACAAGACAGAGAGACTGAAAATAAATAATCTAACGATGTACCTCCAGGGTTAGAAGAACAGGAAGAAGCCTAACCCAAAAGCAGCAGGAAGAAGTACCAGGGCATAAATTACTGAAATGCAAACAGAGGAACTGGGGCTGTAGCTCAGTTGTAGAGTGCTTGCCATCATGCATAAAATGCTGGGTTCAGTGAGGTGTGGTAGTGCACAACTGTGATCCCAGCAATTGGAAGAATGATCAGAAGTTGAAGGTCATCCTCAGCTACACAATGTTTTTGAGGCCAGCCTGAAGTTCATGACATTCTATCTCAAACAACAAAACAAACAGCATATACAATCAGTCAAGTAAAGCACTGGTTCTTTAAAATGCATGAACAAAATTGAAAACATAGCAAATCTAATCTAAAGAAAGAAGGAAGACCCAAAAAAACAAATTTAGAGATTGAAAGGGGATATTACAACAATTTTAGTGAAATTGAGATCATTAAAAATATTTTAAAACATATACCAAAGTTAGGAAAACAGATAAATTACTAAACATATTACTTATCAAAGTTAAATCAGAGAAGGTAATCAATTTATAAGCAGATCCATACCAAATAAATATATTGATGCAATAATACAGAGTCTCCCAATAAGAAATCCTTGAACTTCATAAATTCCACTGCTGAATTCTACCAGTCCTTTATAGATGATCTAAAACCAATGGTTCTCAAATTGTTTCATGAAATAGAAGGCAAGGGTTGTATCAAGCCAGCCGTACCCTTATATGAAAACCAGAAAGGAGAACACAAAAATCAAAAAAGATAAAGCAAGCAGAAAAAGAATAAACTAACCATATGTAAAGTCCCCAGTATAGTTTTCCCTGAACAGACTTAAAATTGTCAGTAAAATGCTTGCAAATCTAATTGAAGAACACATTAAGAAGATCACATACCATATTTCATTCTGGGGATGCAAAGTTGGATCAACATATGCAAATCAACAAATGTAATACAACTTAAAATACACTTAAGGACAGCCAGATATGATGGTACATGCCTTTAATCCCACCATTATGGATGTAGAGTCAGGCAGATCTCTGTGAGGTCAAGGCTAGCCTGGTCTAGTTACATAGTGAGTTCTAGACCAGTTGAGACTATGGAAGATTCTGTCCAAAAAAAAAAAAAAAAGGTGGAGGGGGGGAACTGGAGAGATGGCTCAGTAGTTAAGAGCACTGGCTGCTCTTGAAGAGAACCTATGTTCAATTCCCAGCACCCACATGGTGGCTAGCAGTCATCCATAATTCCAGTTCTGGGGGATCCGCCACCCACTTCTGATCTCCATGGGCACTGCACAACACGGTGCACTTACACACATGCAGGCAATGCACTCATACACATAAACTAAAAATAAAATATGTTTTAAAAAAAACAAAAGACAAGTGCTGATGAAGATGTGCAGAAAGAAAACCCTTATTCACTGCTGGGAATTAAGTTGGTACAGCCACCATGGAAATCAGATTGGGGGTCCCTCAAATAACAGAATAGTACCACCTTGTGATCCAGTTGCACTGCTCCTGGGTTTATACCTGAGTCATAGTGGCAATGCCACAGAGATGCTTGCATATCTACCTATGCTCTTGTACAATTCACAATAGCCAAGATATAGAGCCAGATATGGAATTTCCAAAAAGGAAAGGAATGAAATACTGTACATATACACAATGAAATTTTATTACCTGAAAAGGATGAAATTATGACATTTGCAGAATGAGTTGAACTTGATATCGTTATGGGAAGCAAAATAAATTAGACCCAGAAAAACAAGATCACATGTTTCTCTCACATGTGGAAGCTGGATTTAAATATATATATGTAAATTTATTTTAAATATACATATATATGTATGACATGAAATTAGGGCATCACTGGAGGGGGGAGAGGACTGAAGGGAAGGGGGGATAAGTGAGAGGGATGGAATATATATTAAATGAAAGCAGAAAGTGAGATTATTTCAGAGATAGCGATATAGAATTAAAAGAGATAAGAGTTTTTGTTAGTAGTATGTGTGTGTGGAGCTATAGAGAGAGAAATCAGTGTTTGACAATAGAAGGGAGACTTGATAAGAGATGGACAGAGACCTGCTCAGGGGGACTCACTGTGCAATGGCAAAAATGACTCCTGGGACGTAGGGAATACCAGAGAGCAGGAGGAAAGGCCTCTATGTGACAGGCGGTTGAGGTTAGAATGCAAAGGGGAAGCTGTATGCTGAGTCACACTCATTGTGAAAAGCAACTCGTTTCCTTACATAACTAGTGAAAGTTCATCGGGAGGCCCAGGGATGGAGTGCAAACCTGAAGGTTGGGGGGTCAAGCACCACCAACACAATGCTCCAAATATTAGATTCCTGGTGGGAGATGTGGGATAGATCACCTGCAGCAGAGGGAAGCTGGCGATGATGTTGGGCTCCAGTTCTTCCATGTTGTAGATCACTTCAACCAGGTGGACGTCAGCCTTGCTTAGCTTGTTGCCAACAAGGTAGTCTTGGCCATGGCTCTTTAGCACCTGTGGAATTCAAGGGAATAGATCCTGAGCACACAGACAGATTGGGGCCCCTGTTTCTTCCCGAGCCTCTTAAACCTCCCCTTCCCCTGATGGTATCTCACTGGGCAAGTGAAGCTGTAAACCTCTTTCTACGTTCACGGCTCACAAGAGAGTGATGAGGAGGCTCGTCCCTCCATTATTGCCAATGTGATCTTAATCTCTTTATGGCACTTCTGTGGTGTTCACACACCCACCCTTAAGGCTGCACCCTGTTTGCACAAGCCAAACAACCAAAAAGAGTATAGCCCTAAAACTTTAGGATGTCAGTGGGATGTAACAATTAATACCTGAAATCCCAAAATTTGGAAAGCTGAGTTAGTAGGATTGCCATGAGTTCCAGGCCAGTCTAGGCTATAATGTGAGACCTTGTTTCAAAAAAATCCAAAGTAAACAAAAAATCCAGGACGTGTACCTCCTCTCTGCTCTCTTCAGGGTGGTGCCTCTCACCCAGGAGTAGGACATTTCCGTGCCTGCATTTCCCCCTTGTCTGCCCTCTTCATTTCCTGGTCTAACTCTCTAAGATATAAAGTGATCCTGAATTTTCTTTGCAACATTAGTTCTCACCCCTAACCTATACTATGACATTATCTGCATAAGAAATTCATCAGGGCGAGTGGTGCTGAGGTCTGCAACCCATTATTATTATTTTAAAATATATTGTATTCATTATTTTTATTTTATGTGCATGAGTGTATTGCCTGCATATAGGTAGAGTGCACCCATGTCCTGCAATGTCCATGTAGGTCATAAGAGGGCATATGACCCCCTGGAACTGTAGTTATGGATGGTTGTTAGTCACCATGTGGGTGCTGGGAAAGGGGAATGCTCATTCACTGCTGGCGGGATTGCAAACTCACGTAGCCTCTATGGAAAACAGTGTGGAAAACTCTTAAAAAACTAGAAGTTAACCTACCATATGACCCGGTTATACTACTCCGTGGCATATACCCACAGGACTCATCCTATGGTAGAGACACTTGTACAACCATGTTTGGTGTTGCTCTTTTCACAATTGCTAAGAGATGGAAGCAATGTAAGTGTCCCTGAACTGACAAATGGTTAACAAAAGTGTGGTATATTTACACAATGGAGTTCTACTCAGAAGTAAAGAAAGATGAAATAATGAAATTTGCAGTTAAATGGATGGATCTAGAAACTCTTATACTAAGTGAAGTAACACAGACTCAGAGAAACAAATGACGTATGTTCTCCCTCATATGTGGCTCCTGGCACCAAATCCTTTTAAATTCCAGGTCTTTTTAATAAGATGGTGCTAAAGAGCAGTCCCTTCTGAGCATGAAATAACTAGGATCTTCATGAATACAACTGAGCCTGATCACTAAACATAGTTATAATTGGGTTTGTTGACAATTCTGCTCATTCATTAAAGGAGGGCCAAGCAAGGTCACTGGACCCTCACAGGATTATCCAGCCACTCTTCCCAGCCAACTGTATGTAATTTGGCCCTAATCACACATGGCCTCCTGGATTTGGGGAGGGCTAAAGTATACAATCTGGGGAAGGCTAGGAAGAGAAGGCATGACCCATGCTAGGTAAAGGCTTTCCAGTGTGCATACCCTCAGGTCATACATACACCTCAGCAACCCCTCAGTTATCTTGGTAAGTAAGCTCAATAAATTCTTTGGTTCCCCAGTACAGCTTTCATCAAACGTTGGCTTGACACTAAAATCTTAAAAGGAAATAAGCATTGCTTAGCATCCCCAGGAAAAGAAGTCTCACAACAGGTGGAAAATTTATTTGTTCATGCTATTATGTCTCATAATTGTTTTTAAAAAAAGAAAATGAGAACATAAAAGATGTTAAAAGGATATGGGAAAGGAGATATTTTCCAAAATAGACAGAAAACATGAGACAGCCTAAACAAGTGATAAAGGTCTGTGTAGGTTTGTTATGATATATGAAAGGTGAGACAAAAATAATATACACATAATCTTAAAATTTCTATGGTCATAGTTTAGCCAACTAGTTTAAGGAACAAAATATATATCTAGTCAAACTTTATCTCAGAATATTTGGTTTTTCACCCAAGCCTTATCTACATAGCACATGATAATTAAAAGTACCAGACTGGTGGAACTAACCTTACTTGATGTTTAACAGCAATAGTTTGAGGCCTATATTAATGTGGTCAGAGGGACTTAAAGGACAGTTTCTGCCCCTTGCCCTCTAAGGTTGACTAAGTTCCAGGGAACTATGGAACATCTCTCAAAATGTCCTGTAACTGTGGTAAGTCACTTGTCCTCTTGTTCAGGGAGGACATGGAGACCCCACGAGGTGGACTTGAACCAGTGTCCAGTCTACAAAGAAGAGGGTCAACTCAAGGGAAACATCTCATTCATGCTTCCATGTGAAGCCACCCACAGTCAAGCAGGACCTTTGACTTATCTTCACATAGATGGAACTATGTGAAAGGAGTCAGGAGCTCCTCCCAAGCCCATGTGATCCCTGAGGAACAGATCCTCAAATGACCTTAAGTGTAAAAATATATTGTTTTATTTGGGTCAACTTTATGGTCTTAAACACCTGAAAGGAAAGTATAACCAAAAAGTAAAGTCATCAGTATATTTCTTTAGGAGTTCAAGGGATTACACTTCCCAGACATTAGGCTTAAGTCTATATAAAAAGTTATTTAGACAATTATTTCTCATTGATGATTTTGTTCCTAATCAGAAAGTGCTGCTCAGACATAAGACTTCAAATCTTGGTCTCTAATACCGTAGTGCCCACCTGTAGCTAAGGGAGACAATCAGCTATTGTTCTAAAATGATGGATAAATTTGTTTTCTCCCCCTATCTCAAAGCCTTTGAAAGGGAACTGACACTGATTGTAACCACTCCAACAGCTACCAAAATACCTGAAAGCATATCCTGAATCCATCACTCTAGATTCCAGCCTTGGAAGACAAAAGAAAAATGAGGAGGAACCCAATAGAGGGATGCCTTCAGAAATCCTTGTCAAGATATTCCAATGGACTCTCATATGAACATTTGAAAATTGCCCTGTTCTATTTTTTTACTAGTTCCCTGTCTAGAACTTGTAATGCTAATTACTCTTGCCTTTACTTCTCTTTCACAGCTCCTATTCAGGATCCAAGGACTTTCTTTTCCCTCTGGAGATAAGAGTTATGCAAATTGGGAGTCTTTCAGATAGACTCACTGAAGGGGTACTCCAATTGCCTCACCCTGCATTGCTGTTCAGCATGGAAGAAGTGAGAGCATTCTGAGTCCCTATTTCCTATCCTCAAGTTGGGTAACCTCTACAGAGGATGGTGTGCTAAGAATAGGAGGTAGGAATTGGCTAGGCAGTTAGGATAAAAAGTCCCCAAAGAAAAGTCGACAGTTTCTTGGCTAAAAGTCAAAATGTCCTTGGGCTTCTTAGCAGCATACTCTGTTCCAAAGGCCAAAAACGTGGAAAGTATTTGGGAGCTTGTATCTAATCCTTAAGTATTTTAGGGTTATCTATTCAGAGGGGGAATGTTAGAGTAGCCAAAAGTACCACAAAAATAAGTAAATCAAAGGAAAAAAAAATTCCAATTCTGCCATGAAGGCAGACATTAAATAAGAGTTTAAAAAAAGGGGGCGGGGATATTTCACAGAAAACTAGTTCTCAAAGTATCAGTTGCTACTTCTATGGTTAAATGCTTTTGATAAATACTAAATTAAACAAAGAACAGCATAGCTATTTATATTGGAACATATCAGAGTCATGAAAATTTAAGCCACAATTTCCCTGCTCCCCCGCCCCCGCCCTGACTCTCTCTCTCACATCTCCAGCTCTCTCAGGTAGAGGCAAGAGGATCTTATGGAACTGGTGCCCTTATTTGCTCACTCCCTCGGAGAACTGTCAAGTGCTGGATGTCACAACCATGGTTCATGGGCATGATTCATTTTGCTTGTTACTAGACCTCCCTTATCCCCCACATCAAGCACAGTGGCCAGTACACAGAAGACTCTCAGTAAATATTTGTCAAGTAAGTGAATGATTTCATTAAGAAAATTTGACTTATCACAAAACTATACTTCATCTTTCCTAGCTATGACTTTTACTTCCCTCCAGAGAAAACAAAATCACCCATCTGTCACCATGAATAGTCCAACTTAGATAGCCAATGCACAGAATAATTCAAAATCCAGATATCTCACCAGGGGTTCTGCCCCTTGCAAGGAAAATTCTCCTCCCAGAGGAGAGTTAGGGGCAAACCAAAGAAAGTGGCTCTGTTGTTTATTTTGCAACTACCCTTTCAACAAACTCAGCCTTCTCAGTAGGAGTTAAGCAATGGCTCTGAAGAACAGTCCCTGGCATCTCATGAGGGGAGTGTGTGATAGTCAGTACTCTCCACTTTTCCATCCAAAGTTTACAAAGGACGTGCCTGCCCCAGGGGCAAAAGTGGAATATAACCTGGTGACAGCTCTCCCCAGTAACTCAAGTCAGAGAAAAAAAAAAAAAAAAAGACTTTTTATGGTCTGGGAAATGAGGGGATTCATCCTGGATTGAGAAAGATCATGTTACTCTGTTACTTTCTTGCTCCTATACTTAGCCTCTGTGGTGCTCACTATTGCAATCAGCCAGCTTTTGTAGCTGTGCACCTAAAGAACTATACTATCAACCTTATTTCTTGTTGATCAGTAAAGCTCTGCAGCCCCTCAAAACACAACAATGGAAAAACTCGTCTAAATTTGAAGTAAAAATACTTGAACAAGTCATGACAGCCACATACTGAAAAAATCTTTCTTTCACAAAGGAACACTTGCTTGGGCATACCATAAGTCTCTCATGTAGAACACTTAGAGCCATTTGAAACTCTCAGAACAGTATACTTCAAGGAAAGTAAACTGAATGTGGAAGTTGCTAAGCTTACTCCTTTTAGATTATTTTCCTTTTTCTTTTTTATTTAC